CATCCGGTATGTGGTTGCATGGTAACACCATTTCAGTGCCACGAAAACGTACGGCACCGGCCAGGAGGCAACCGTTACGGAACATTCATGTTCACTACATAAATTTACACAGCAGACACCGAATGTAACGCCAGCGCAGGTCGTGGTCGAAGTTGTCGTAAGCAGTATAAGTAAATTTTTCATTTACGTCTTGCGCTGTGACTAAATGTTCAAAATTTTCAATAAAATCACATTTTTCAACTTTACCTTTGAAACGTCAGTTTTTTCAACGGTTTTTAGACACAAAAAATGACTTTAGTCATGGACTTTAGTCACGGGGTGGAACTTGCGCCTCTCATGGCTAAATATTTAGCCATTTGATACTTATTATACTATTAAATGCATAGACACAGCCATAACTAAAAGATGAAGTTATTTTTAAACTTCACCACTTAGATTTTTATGCTTGGAATGTGCGCCGAATAAATCTCATTCTTTATACAAGCGTGCGAAGAACAACATGTTCTAAATATTTACGTTAGTCGCGATCGAAAAAAGAAAAGATTGATGAATTCACTTCTACTTTTACTCACCGCCATGCAGTCGCGATGATGATTAATGAATCGCGTTTTCAATTTGTTTACGCGTCGCAAAAATAATAAAGATGCTTCAAATTAATTCGCCATTCAATCTGTAAAATACGATACTTTCGCGTGCAAGAATAGAAAAAACCTATAAAAATATCTAAATTTTGCAATAATAAAATGTGTCTAAAATTAAGTTTGAAAATGTCAAACTTGTGAGCGCTTGCGAGCGCGAATATTTCGTACGTAGATACGTGATGCTGATGCGATGCGCGTATAAATGAGTGAGGAAAGAAGGATATTCTCGAGTGGCACTTGAAGTAACGAAGTTGCAGAGTCGCGCGGCGGAGAGACACGAAATTTGCATGGTAATGAATTTCTGTATGGTGCGCCAAGACGCAGATATTCGGAAGTATTCACGGCTGGAAGAAAAACACTCGACGGATGCTGCTGGTGGTGCTTGAGAGTCGTATGTACGTAAGCAAATAAAGAGGAAATGCCAAACACAAACATACTGATGTTTAAACATTTATCGAATGATAAAAACAGCGCATGCGCAAATTTTATTCTATTTTAGTCTACTGCGCATGCGTAGATTGCTAAAATTAGCATTATGTGTTTTTCTATAATAAAAAGGATTTTATCGTGGTGTGATAGTCCGCAATGTCCAAATTATGTCCAATTCATCCAGGGAAACTCAAGCAGTCAAGCACTTTATCACGAAAGGTCAATTGCTACGCGCGCCCAGCCCTAATCAGCTTAAAAGTTTTTTGTCTTCTTTATTTCGCGCGAAAAGGTCAAGGATCCACCACACAATTGCAAAACATTAGGTACTTAAATCAACGCAGTAACGGTAATATTATCTAGTTGAAAATTCGGAAAGGTGCGCTAAATTTTAATTAGAAAAGCTGCGTGCGAGAATATAGCGCGCGGTTGTCGTGGTGGTGTGTCCTCCGCGATTCTATTTGCAATGCAGAAGATCAAGATTACACGGTCGGCACACGCGCGTTTTCACGCAACAAACGGCGGCGAAACTTTTCGATTCTTAACGAGCGCACGACGCGCGGTTGGGAAAACTGTGTCACATAAAACATTCAGAACGCAACGCCAACGGCTTTATGTACCTACGTCAACACGCCAACGAGACAGCCGGAACGCCTGATTATTCTCTATGCTAAAATACCTTCAGAAATTATTGTTTATGAAAATTAGCAAGAAAGGAAATAAAAAAAATGAAATATTTCATTTAAAAAATTATTATGTAACAAAAATTTTGTGAAAATATTTATAATCTGTCAGATGTGTGTAAACTTCAGTGTGTTCACCCCAAAAGTCTTACATCTGCCGTATAGTTTAGTATTCAAGACGTTAATTCGCTAAATATACCAATGTTTGCCTAAGATTAAATAAACAACCGTAAAACGACATTTGACTGAGAAATTTCATCTTTTCCCACATCCCACATCAATTTCATATCTTAAATGATAAAAAAAGTAAAAATTTAGTTAAAAATCTCAACTAACAAACCTTTTCCCACCCCTAGATTAAATTTTCGTTATCTGTGTGGCAAATCAACGCCTATAACTTTCATCCCTTATGCAGTATCAACCCTAAACGCAAATCTGCGCTAGCAAAAATGGTAGTTACCGTAGTTACCATACCTATGTACACAGCTGGATGCGAGATAGCAAAGGAAAGTCGCGGGGAACGCAAGAGAAACGACCGCACAACGTCGAGAGGTAAATCACAGCCTTCGCACCAACCCCCAACGCACACCTACATGTCCTTAAGTAGGTTTTACCTTCCAGGCTTCCCCGGAAAGGTCCCTGCTTTGCCTTCACTCTTCCACACCTGCACTGCTTGGCTGGAGCTCGGGTTATCCAGAGAATACTTCCCGAGCCCTCGTGCCCGTCGTTACCGCTGTTGCTATTAATCAATTAGCTCGCAAGCAGGAGCAGACCAAGCGATAAGTTAAATTTTGTGCGTGTGCGATGCGCATTCGGGAACGTTTTGTTCGATGAGTTGGAAATTAATGTGGAGAGAAAAAATCGAGGAAAAATGTCAAAAACATGGAATTTATGAAGATGAACATGAAACCATCCCGTAAATTTAGCGAGAAATTAATTGTAATTAAGATTTATTACAATTTACTTCTTTTGCGCCATAAAAAATCGTTTCTATGTCAGTCAAGAGTAAGATTTGAAACTGTAAAGTGCATTTTACATGTTTATACTATGCGCGAATGTATTTTCGGCATTTCGAGACACGAAGCGAAATAAAATTAAACGAGGTGAGTAAAAAAAGCACGTGTGGAGCGTAAACGACATGCGACATTGCCACAGAACCGACGGACGACGGTTTTAGATTTTTCGCTTCGATATAAATTCAGTATATACTCAAAATATTCAGAATATTACATTCACAGAATGAACGAGTGGCTATTTCAGTTTTACGCTGCGGTTTCGTTTTCGTGTGTTATGTTATGTTACACCTGTTTGGAGCGAACTACGAAAGTAAAAGCTACTGCGAAACGATTAACAGTGGTTAACCTAACATAACACAACATAACCTGATTTACGAGCTGCAATTATTAGTTTTTCTCTAGTTAAGCGTCAACAAGAAAAATATTGCTTAGATATTTTTAGATGTTTTAATATGAAATTGTGTTTGGAGCTAAATACGTCGGTGTTTATCTGGTGCATTTGAAAAGCTTAAAAATGCAATTGAAAAACGCAATGTGCAATGTGCGACGTCGTATACATACGTAGTTACGTGCATTGCATGCAATGGCAACGCAACTATTTGTAAACTTCGGAGCCGATCGAGCGAAATTATTGTGCAAACATGCAGTCAAGATAATATTTATAGTGGAATGCTCAATGTGCGCAATGTGCTCTGTACAATTGTGAACATTTCACCTTCTGGAATTTTAGTACAAACAATATATACGAAAAACTAAACAAAAAAAAAACGAAATTTTTTGTAGTTTTTGCGTGTTTTTCGATATAAATCAATCAAAATAACAAATTTGCGTAATAAATTACGTCAAATTAATGTTTTGTCTAAGGTTTAAAACGTGAATTTGATTAATTATTCAATTGCGAGGTGCGTAGCTTGCGGCCGAAAGTAAAATTAATTGATTTTCTAAATGAAGCCAAATGACCGACACCTGTTTTCCATTACCCCGGCTCACGTTTTCATAAATCTGACAAATAAAACTGCAATGCGACGAATATGAATAACAACAGAGCATATAAAACGCCATACATTCACAAGTACATCACCAACGTCAACAACAATAAACAATATACCAATTTAATTATTAAATCTAACGTGTATTCATAATAAAACACAAAATGTAAAAAATAAAATAAAATAGAACTGAAAATACTGATTGCCTTGTTCACATATGTCCTGAATGTCAATTTCGGTAAAATTCTGCATTTTCTGCAAGTCACATTTAATTAAAACCAAAGTGCAACGAAAGCATGACGCCCGATTCAATGCATATTTAATTTGCGTGCGTTTTAGTTTTTTTCGCTCTGCGCCAGTGCTTTAATTACTTTCCAACTTTACATCGTCGTTATTTTTTGTGATTTTCGTCTCCCTCTGGGGGGCAGCACGCGTAAGAACCCTATTATTATGGACCACTTTCAATTTGAATCCAGTCGTTAAAAAACTTTCACGAGACTCGCAAAAGTTTAAACTTTTTTTGTTTGATGGAAAAACTTTTAATTCAAATGTCGATTAAATATTTAAATTAATGCAGTGAATATTTATTGATTTTTTGAGTAAAAACAAAATTAATTTTTGAAATTACATCAAAATCATAAAATAATCAAAATATTTTCTTGCTTATATTTATTCACTGATTAATTGCCTTTTAAATGATATTTTGCTCAACGTTTTGTGAGTAAAAATGACGAAGTTATAAAACAAAAATGTACCTACAACATTAAAATAAACCACTTTTGACGACTTGTTTCTATTTATACAAAACCGAAATAATGCGTTGTAAATAATAAATATATCCGCGGCGTACACGTTACAACAATTAGCTAATTTAGCTAGTGCGGCCGATAACGCCGGCTGCCGCCGTCTGCCGCCACCTGGTTTGTTTAGAAAGGCAACTTAATAAGTTATTTAACTCGACGTGTACGCTGTACGTGCGAGATCTGATCGTCGATTATTTATTAGCATTTTCTACGCGTTCAAACACAACTTACGGTTTTATTCACCGAGAATTTTATCGCTGATGAATATTATTTCGGATCGTTGACAGACTTGACGTGCGCAACGCGTTTATTCAAATCGTATGCTAATTCCTGAACATTTCTATCAAAGTTGTTGCATTTTTCTGTTTCGTTTTTAAATTACCACGTGTTTTGTGCGGATTTCGTTGATGTGCTGGCAATAAAATAAATGCGGTCCACTTACCGTTTTGAATCCCCGATACATGATCCTTATCTCCTGCCGCGTGAACTTCGTCAGCCGACACAGATCCTCTAAAGCGACCGGTATCGGCTTAGGCACCCTGGACGGTTCCAACTCGTACACCATGTCCTCGACGGGACTGTCTGATGGCGTACCCATTTTGAATTGTTTTTGTTACGTATCTCACACTCACAAAACAAGCGCCGCACTCTTTCCCTGCTGGTCCTCAAGAGCTCCGAATAAAAATCACAACATTTTTGTTCGACATTTGTACACTTGTACAGCACACAGCACCTGATATCTGATCAAGGTCCAACGATAACCGGTTGTTTTTATCAACACCGTTTGCGTTTGTTGCAATGCGCGCAAGCCGAGTGGTGCGATTTTAATTGATGAGTTCCCGGATGAGAGTTTCAGTGATGATCCATCGCGGGCGGTTTTGTTTCGCGCCGGGGGCGGGCGTGCGTGGATGTGTGTGTGGGAGCGCGCGTGCGAGGCCAGCACACATGCAGACGGCGCGGTGGCGTGTCGTTCGCGCGATCCCTACCCGGATTCGACCCGGACTGTGGTCCTCCGCGAGCGGGCGGCCGCACATCCTCCCGACGACTTTCGGCCCGCAGCACTGGCGTTTTCGGCGCGCGCGCACAGACTCGTCGGGCCACGCGCTCGCGAATATTTCAATCACTACTTAACCCAACCATTAATATTCGCTTTGAAGAAGATATACTAAACAGAATTAACGCATACATTTGGCACATTTTATACATTTTATCACAAAAACAACTATTTACGCTAATTTTGTGATTTTTATAGTGCAAATAATATAACTCGTCTTTTCTAATAATTTTCGTATTGAGCTAACCGAAACTTTTATCATATGCAACCAAAAAAACACCAGATATTAATAAACCAATGTGTCAATGGTTTTACTACAAATTTCGCTAAAATAAATTTAATATTATCTAAAATTGACCAAAAACATTGCAATAGAAATGTTTATTATTCATTAATTTTACCAATCCACATCTCCTACTTCTTTTTCTTTTTAATTCCATCAAACTGCATACTCAACAATGGATTACTCTTTTTCATTTGGTGTTTAGCTGAGCTAAGATCACCTTTCACCGGATACGTACGCTTATTTTTCCTCGTTGTAATGCCAGCCAAGTTCTTCAATGTCGGAGGAATAATATACTCTGGCACATCAGTCAAATGTTGTTGCAAACGCACCGTATGCAATGCTTTGTCATGCCTTAACACAGTTAAATCATTCGGATTATCATTGAAATATGTTTTCAGCTTGGAACAATTGAAAATCTCCGTTTTGATCTCTTTTAAACGAGCTTCACGTACAGCAATACGTGTTACTGCTTTCCAGGCATCTTGGGCGCGATATTTGAATGCTTCGACTTCATCTAATTTAAATTGATAAGTCCTAGATTAAATACAAAAGAAAACAAACAATTAATTGGTGGAAATAAACGTTAATAGTACAAAATTACTTGAAAACGGACGATTCACTGTGGATCTTCTGCAGATGTTCGTCGACTTTGTCCAGATATTCTTTTTCAAGCAAATTTACAAAAGATAAAACACTTCCCTGATAAAAAAAATACATTTTATGATTTAGAATTTGTTTTTTTAAGTTAAAATTTACCTGATTTTTTCCACGTGCTGTCCGGCCAGCTCTATGCACATAGGAATCCACATCAAGTGGAAAATCAAAGTTGATAACATTCGATACACATTGAAAATCAATACCTCGCGAAACACCACTTTCTTTATCTTTACGACGTTTTGTCTTCGATAATTTACCTTTTTGTAACTGGCAACCCGGGTTGTTCCAGAGACTTCTCATCAGATGCCACAATAATATCATAAACACCCTGATTGAACTGATGTACAGAATGACAACGAATTGTCGCTGGTAGTTCGGAATTCAAAACACACGTTCGTATACCAAATTGTTCCAGATACAGTTTAAGTCTGTAAAATTACAATTAATAGCATTTTAAAATTATCCTAGCATGTATCACAACTTACTTGTAACATTTATCAACAGTATTAACAAAAATAATCGTTTTTCCTCGAATCAGATGCAATTTTAATAAAGAATAAATGATTGTAGCTTTATCCAATTCTTCAGCCATCAATAAATAATGACTCAGTTGTGAAGATGGTGCCAGATCCGGTTCTTCAAGTTTAAGAATAACTGGATTATTTAATACCAGACTTTTGAGGCTCTTTACATCTGGGCTGAGTGTAGCTGATGCAAGAATAGCCTGATAAATTTTAGGCAAAAAGTCCATGATTTCTTTGATTTCCTTTTCATAACCAAAAGAGAAAATTAAATCTGCTTCATCAATCACCATCAAATCCAATGATTCCTTAAGGTTTAAATTACCAGCTTTTAAATGTAACAAGGCTCTTGCTGGTGTGCTAACAACAATGTCAGGTTTCTCCACCAATAAAGGTTTTTGAGTTTTTAGGTCAACATTAGGAGCTATATCAATACATTTAACATCTCTTGAACAATTTGCTGTTAAATCTTTGATGACACTTGTTATTTGTTGGCATAATTCTTTACTGGGTGCTAGTAGAAGTGCTTTCACTTCTTGATGTTTGGCTGTTTGTTTTACCTGAATTATCTTCTGAATTACAGGAATTGAGAAGGCTGCTGTCTTTCCTGAACCAGTTCTTGCCCTTACCAACACATCCTTACCTTCCAGAAGTAAAGGAATTGCTTTTTCTTGGATTAATGTTGGTGATTGCCATCCCAACTTAGCAATAGCCTATGAAAATATTAATGTTTTATGTAATTTTATGTTTCAAAACATGAGGTTATAGGAAAATACCTTTAAAATACGATCGTCCAACTCCATCTCATGAAACTGCATGCTGGACTCTTCATTTTCTTCTTCCATTGTTATTAGAACACTTATAAAACAAAAACACGTTGGAAACACTGATAACCGTTCAAAACTGTTGTGGAATAACCTCTAAGGAATGAAACACATGTTTCGTTTTACGCGTAGTTTATTTCTAAACGGTACCGACAGCGACACCTACCGGAAAAAATATTAACTAATATAGTTTGAAGGTAACATTTAATCAAAAGTTGAAAATAACAATTTATACGCATTTTTAATCTCTTAACTTTATTTATTATAACATAATATGGGTTTAATGGCAGTATTTGTAAGCAACCCATGCGTTGAAACCATTTCCAGAGAGATGTTCGTGTTCAGCGAAAATCTTCAGAGCGCACTGAATATCATTGTTGATATCGTCGTCTCTCATGGAATCACAAGTTACACCGCAACCATTTCCTAAAAAACAACAAATATTAACGGTGAAACAACATAACAAACTTATAAATGTACAAAAAACATTAAATTTTTATTTTGTTCGTAATCATATCAAAATCAGTAACACATTGAGTCATTGAATCCATAAATAGAAATAAATAAACAAAACAACTTAAAATTGCTTACCAGGAGGAGAGCACCAGTAAATTTGACTGATCTGGAACAATCCATGATCACCAGTGTTTCCATTATAAGCCCCAGTATCGAAGTTGGATTCGTGTTCAACAACACAAGCCCAAGTATCCAGTTTATCACCAGAAACGCCATAAGATGCCAGAGCGTTCTTCAACTCCGAAACACTGACAATTCTAGCCTGGCTAGCAGCAGCCAACAGAAGGACACACGCCAAAAACTTGAACATTTTCGATGATTGTTTACTGTATAGTGAAAACAATTGGAACTGATGAAAATGAAACAATATCCCGGCTTTTATATGAATCCTGATCGATTTTCAATTGTATTTGTTTATAATTATCTGTTTGATATTGCGTGATAGTGCCTTGAAGTGTAAACACTTCACAGACTTAATAGGTGTCAATAATCTGATAATTTTATGGAATTTTATGAAGTATTCCCAGCGTGATGCACTAAAAAACATTACAAAACACTTTCTACATGATTGATTAAAGGGAAATACTCAATAATGACAATAATACTCATCCGATAGTTTCACAAAACTTAATCATTTGTATCTTAAGTACATAATGAGTAAGTATAAGTAAATAAGAAGCAAACACTTCATTGTGCAGTTATTTTTATTTAATTTTATTTTTTGCTACAACCACTAAATTCTACTTCCAGCACTACCTAAACTAAACCAATAACAAGACTAGATTAGAAAACTGATATAACTTTGATATAGGTGGGTGAAAAGGGTGCACATCGTTGCGAAGGTACACGGTGTGCTCACTGCTGCACCATTTGTTGCTGAGGTGGTAGAGGCGCATCATAACCAGAGTTCTGATCGCGTTCGAATGCGGCTTTCTGCAGGATGCGTTGATAAAGCGGTGATCTGGAGCGGGCAAGCCATAGCTCCAGACGTAGACTAGGGTCGAGCGCTAGGGGAAGGCCCCCAGCTGACAGGTCGCTACGTTTTCTCATGTAGTTGAAGCAGCAAGTCTTGAAGTTTCGCGTTCCGCACGCGTTCTCGCACTCCATGCCGCACGAACCGCACGAGCGCAGATCTCGTGAAGCAATCGCACCAGCAACTGACGGAGAAATAATACTAATATCATTAGAAAACGATGGAAATTGTGTTTTTGGGATGCTGGACAATTTTTTGTGCTTAAAATAGCAGAAAACATAGAAGAATATTCTTTAAAATGTAAAATTTCGTAAATAAAAAAAAATTGAAAATTGAAAATTCAAGTGTTTTGCCTGTTTTTACATAAATAAGTTAATTCACTTAAAATTCTGATGATTATTTCATGATAATGAATTAAATATTTTATCATATGTACGAAAATTATTTGATTAAGTGTCTAGATAGCAAAATTATAATTTTTTTCGTCAAAAATTCGATTTTTAACAAACTATAATAAAAATCACAATATTGCAATGCAATACTGAAGTGAGCAATAAAAAAATAAAGAAATGTTGCAAATAAACAACAAATCAAACACAAGAACCCAAAATAACCCAGCGAAATGACCACAATCACAAATTGATTAAACACTTGTGTGCGGAAAGCGTGGCAATACGAGCGACAGGATGCTTACCGACGACGAGAAGGACCACAAACAAAGTTCTCATTTTCGTTCTTCTTTGGCGCCGGACACTCGATGCAACACGTAGACTTGGCGGCGGCTCTTCGAAGGGGCTCTCTGCAGGACACCAGCACGATGCGGCGCTCTTTTATATCGCATCTTACGAAGATGATAATTGTGGTGGGGCGACAACCACGCACACACAATTTTCGCGGTATTTGGTGCGTAATCGTTTTTGATAAGCCGATCACATCACGCGTCGGCTTTTCAGCGCTCCAACTTTGATCGCATCGACGACGAAGAAAATTTGCGCACCGCTAGAAACTTTGATCGGCACTCGCCGTGAGCTCAGGACATTATGCACGTTTGTCCTGGATTGGATTTATTAGAAATGCATTAGGTGTCGTGATATCCAATAAAACATTTTAAAATATACAAAATTATCGAAGGCGAGAGAAGAAAAAGATTTTAGATCAAGTTTTTGGCGAGAATTAAAAAATATATAAAAATAAATAAAAATTAAGTAAAAACTTTTAAAATATCCAAAAAAACTTAACAGTTGATAGTACAATTAATGTACTTATAAAATTATTGCAAAAATATTTGCAATTATTTATTTTTGACAAAATAAAACCAAATTTATGAAGTTTTTAAATAAAATTCCGAATATTTTTTATTTTACGATTAATATTACGTCAGTGGGTTTGTTATGATCAGTTTGTGATGAAGTCACAGCCTACAGCAAGTGGATAATGAGTCTATAAATGTCATCAACAATTTATTGAACCCTTTACCGCTGTGTTTATTCTGTAGAATATATATATTCCCTCACTGACGCAGGAAATCCGTGTTTATTCAACGTTTCCAATATGAAAATGCAGCAAAAACATTGAAAACATGAATTTGGCTTGTAGCAGAGGATTATTAGTATTTATTTTGTCAAATGCCCAATTATGAATCATACTTAACACATCGTAAAACTAATTACAGAGATATAGTACGTATTTAAGTTGAAGTTTTGGTTAAATTGATAAGTATACACATTACAACACGATTATGATTTGTCTTAAAATGTAGGATTAATGTTTCGAATTGAAATACTCAAAAATCACGAAAGAAAAAGCAATAATATAAATATAACTTTGATGAGAATCAGAAGTGGAATGTGAGTCTCGATAATTCGATATGATACGGGGAATAAACTGGATATTGTGCTATTTGTTTGGGTAGAATTCTAGATGTAGCAGGGAGGAAGGGCGCAGGTGTTGGTCGCGCTGCGAGCAGGCGTCGCTAGATCCTCGTCGGCGCCCTCTAGCGATTCCTGTTTACGGCGTAGGAGTTCCATGTTTGCTTCCTGTATCGCCTCCCACAGTTTCGCTTCGGACATGATTTGCCGCGAGAGGTCCTCGACTGCAGGCTCAGCGCTCAGTTCCAGCAGGCTGCCGATTGTTTCGTCGTTATGTAAGGGTTCGCCTTGGAGGGGTAGTGCTGGCAGGTTTGATCGCTTTCTACCACAACCTAGGAATGGGTAATTTTTATTTTTTTGTGGGGGGCAAGTTGGTTTTTAATTTTTTTGTTGTTGTTTTTGGCAATTAATAGAAAATTTAATCTATATTGTATGTAAAGTATATAATATGATGTATAAAGTACTTTAGTCACGGTCTTGGCCATCCGTGTTTAAAGTATCACTTTTGTGTCTAAAACCTTGGAAAAATTGGCGAAAATTGTAGAAAAAAACATTTTGTTGACTAAAACTCATAAAATATAAAATAGTATCTAATAGTATAATTTCTAAACCTTAATTTGATACTAAATTTATCAAAATCGGTTAATTAGTGTCATAGTTATCTTAGAATGTGAACTTTATTTCAAAAACGACAAAATTTACCTGTAAAAGCATTGCAGAAAGGTCGTTTCTTTGGGTCTATCACGAGATCCTTTCCATTATACCCATTCAACTAAAACATGTCAAAACCCTAGGCCATAACCCACCAGAAAATTGTAATCATCCAGGTTTGATGTGCTTGCGACAATGACAAAATGACAAAACAATCACGCAATCCCGACGTGAATTATGATTTCGCGCAGCCCACGTTAAGAGCACCCAAAACCGCAATATTCAATTAACCACGTCAAGTGCGCCGTGTCCGGAGGGGTAGAAAAACAGCTTTTCATTATTCGCGCTCCAAGCAGGACTCGTTATCATTTGTCATAAACACAGCAATAACGACGCGCCGACGACAGAAAGCGCGACGTATGCATTATTACATTTTTTCGCCACCAACACCCAGCATTATCCCCACGGAGGTTAAAATTTTAAAACTCACCCTTTTCGGGAGGAACACACATTCTACGTTGATGACAAGCACCGTTACTGTGAGCATCATAAGGATGATCAGCGTCGATGACGAATTCATCTTTGATTTTATTCTGTGGAAGAGAGATTTGAGTGTAAAATTCTTTGCAAAAATACGGTGAGTGAATTGTTAAAAGGGAAATGATAAATGTGCTTCTAGCCGCTTTATTGCCATCCCCTGCGGTTGCTTACAATGAAATACTTTCGCCTACCCACAGTGCGCACATGTTCGCCTCGAGGGGGTGCGTTTTGCACGCTTATCAAACGATTATATTATTATAGACGACAATCGTGTTTTCACTAAATAAATAAACTAAATAATTTTAATTTTAATTTTTAAAGCCATAAACATGTTGTTTTTATCATTTTTATAATAAAACTTAATTAAGCGCAGTTTATTACTGTTAAATATAAAAAACCAAAAACTTACATTTTCAAACTTTTGATAATTCTAATCACTACACTCCCTACCCAGAAAAAATAAACACTACCCAAACACTGCCTCAAAAAGTTGATTTAATGGTTTCGTGTTGATCTTGGTATGCTTGCTATTAAAAGAGTGTGAATTGACTAAGTAAACGCCGTCGTCGCTTGGGTTTTATATATAAATGAAGCGTCGCGGCGTGTGCGCGCACTCCATCCGAGGGTGGCTGGCGGTGGATGGCGGCGATGAGGAATTATAAGCACACGCTTCTCGCCTACCGCCCCCGGGGCCCTGGGCAGTTAAGAGGCGCGATTGCAGCCGTAATCGGCGACGCCGTCGCGCGTAATCGATTCCGTTTCGGGATTAAACCTTTTTTCTTGTCCCTCACGCCGCAATCTCATTAACGCCCATCAATCACGTGTAATAGCCAGACTCACGACGCGCGACTCTCAATTACAGTTTTCTTGGAAGATTTTTTTGCCGATTTTTAATCAGAAATTTTGATTTTGTTTTCGTCAATGTGAGAAAAATAGCAATTTTCTTGTTTTTCTTTCGATTTTAATTTAGAAAACATAATTGTATAGTAAGTATCAAGTGGCTAAACGAGAGCTTTTGATTATCAACGTTTAACCACGTGATCATGGTTATTTTTACAACTTCAACTCTATTTTCACGTTTAGGTTTTTGTATTTAAACTTTTGTGTTGTAAATCTTCCAAATTCGCTCGCAGCGCTTGCTTTGACTGATAATGCGCAGGCGCACGCTCCACCCTGTGACTAAAGCCCGTGACTAAAGTATTTTAATCACAGCATTGACCGTCCTTGTTTAAAATACCACTTTTTATGTCCCAAAATCATAGAAAAACTCATTTCATTTTAAATAAATAAGTATTTCTTGTTAAATTCCCCAAAAAAAACTTTTTTACAAAAATTATTTTGTTTTTCTTGCAATCTACTTAATAATTCCTTCCTCCAATAACATTTTTGTTAATATTTTAAGGAAACCCTATTCACTTAAAGGGTGAAAGAGCGGCGTAAGCGTTTGAAGCGTTTATTAGCACGTTGGTCTTTGTGACACAGCGCTGCAGAGAATGGAGAGAGATAACAAGGGCTGGCAGGGTGGCGACGGTGGTGTTTGCGCGTTTGATGCGCTATCGTTCCATGGGAGTAATTCACGGGAATGCGCACCATTAGGCCGTGAGCCGCTTTCACCTCTAATTATTTCGTCAGCGTTCCGGGCACGTTAATTGCTCGCATTGCGTTCATTGTTTTCCTGTTAACTATGTAATCATCTATGGATTTATCGCTCAAGTCGTAAATGTTAATTTCAACACCAAATTGTATAGAAACTAAGAAATAAACAAAAAATTAATTAATTTAATTTTTTTGTCTGTGGAAGAATATCAGGAATAAAAATATTGAAAAATATTAACAACAAAGAATATATGTTGGTATTTTGTAAAAAACTACCCCTATTTTTTTAATTTGGACCTTTAAAGCTGCTTTTTCAGTTAGTTAAGCTTGTCCACCAATGTATCTCGTTAGTAACATTTAATTAAGAGGATTTACGTTTCATCTACGCATGTTTCAATCAAGGATCACAGATAATTATAACAGAAGCTTTAAAACGGTTTTAATTAACTATCATCCAAATAAGCTAGATGCTACACATTCACACAACTTAAACTAAAAAATAAAAACAAAATACATTTATTTTTACTTTTGATATTTTCAAGGGTTGAAAAGTTAACGGGTTGCACTCTAAGTTTAATAATCAGCGCCATCCCACACTCGACCTCATCATCATCGAGGGGAGTTATGAAATATGATGAGATTTAATATCGCGCACACCGAACGCTGGCTGGCCGCCCCATGAAGGGGTGCAGGCTGTGCAGGGTGCACATTCAGCGAAGGGTAGATACGCACGGGCGTAGGCGTACCTGCCGCTGCGCGATGAGCCGACAGACATGCGCAATTCATGCAGGGATGCCGCCGAAGGCGGAGCCACAGACACGCATACTCTCAACGACGGCGGCGGCGGCTGCGACGGCGGTGGTGGCGGCAGCTTGCCCGCCGCAAAATTACAAGATAATAAGCTTGTTACGCTAACGACTCACCGCAAACGAGCGCGGTCGACGCGAGACAACACTAGATGCCAAGAACCAAGAAAACGACCACAAACAACCTCTAAATGCCAAATACAGCTTTAAAAACAAACCTTAAAAACACCATTGAATACTTTTACATATTTTACTATAGTTTAATTTAATTCTACGTATTTTAAATTATTTTTTTTAGTTATACGCACAATTTAGGGATGAAAATAGTGCGCAATGAAGTAATTAAAATCTAGGGGTGTTTTTATAGCGTGAACGTGCAGCGACTTTTTTAAATCAGTAGATAATTTGAAAATTCTTGCACGTTTACCAGGAGATCCACGGATTGATTAATGATTTCATTATAACCCTACTTAATTATTGGTGTTTTAAGGATTTAATTTAGTTTTAATTAAATTTATCACAAATTTATCGCTCTATTCAATAATATCAATAAGTATTTGTAGAAATAATTAAAAACTTAACATATAAAAGTAAATCATTAATTTATATGTGTTTTTAATTATTTTTCCAAAAACTTTTTTGATTATTTTAATAATAGTTTAAAAAATTGCCGAAAAAAACTAAAAATTAAAAAATTTTGTTTAATTTGTTACCAAAAATTTGATATTTCTCCGTTTACTTTCTGAAAAACACGAGCCATGAGTGATAAAACGCTTGCGAATTGCGTTTTCGTACACTGCTGCCGAGCGGGGTGTGTCCGAATCCGCCGAATCCCAACCCCCTGGCGAGCGCAGCCTGCTCATCCTGCCGACACAGCGACGGTAGCGCCGAAGAGGCGCCCTCCGGTGTGCCGTTCGTGTGTTCGTGTTTACCTTGTTGCCTTCGCGTATGTCAGTTACATCACGCTCTCGCCCGCCGCTTCATTCACTAATACACCCACCACCTTTACGCGGTAATCGGCGTCCAATTAGCGAAAACTCATCGCGCATCTCGCAGTTCCATCTTGTCATCAATGCGTGCATCATCTACGCGTACTCTCACCCACAAAAAGTGTTTAAAAACAAAACTAAACCAACATTCAAACAAAATAAACCAAAAGTAAATTGTGTTGGATTAAATTTAACGTGTTTAAAATGTTACACCACTACAATTATTCCACATCATTGTCACACTTCTTAAGTTATCATCAGTTTGATGATCCGAATAATGATAATGACCAAACTTCAACTTGTGGTGACGATGAACGCAAAAACGCCAATCAACAGAATAAATCATTCACGATCGCAGCCATTTTGGGATTGAAAGGTGACCACCATCATCATCATCAAAGCCGACAACGTCAACAGGATGAAGATTTAAACGTGGTGAATCTGAGCGTGCATCCCGGAGGCGGCGGTCCGACGGCAAGCGGAAACAGCGCAAATGGCGTCGATAGCCGACGGATACAACTACCAAACGTACGAAATTCATTACCGTCGGTGGCCGTGACCAGTCACTTTGCTTCTGCTGGACACTCGAATCGTCATGCAGGTAATTTTAAACAAAACCCACAAGTAATTCAACACCTTCGCTATTTTATCCACATTTCTAATAGTAAGCATGCGTAACGTAAAGTTTTGTTTCATTTTTCTTGTTTTTCTTATAGTAAGAGGTCTCAAACACATGACTACTACAGTTGTTGGGAAGAAGAGCTGCAAGAGCAAGCGTGTACGTACAATATTCACACCTGAACAATTAGAACGCTTGGAGGCTGAGTTCGAAAGACAACAGTATATGGTCGGGCCGGAAAGATTATACCTGGCCCACACACTGCAATTAACCGAGGCGCAAGTAAAAGTCTGGTTCCAAAATCGCAGGATAAAATGGCGTAAGCATCACTTAGAACTTACCCATCAGCGGCTCGCTGTGCTCAAGCAGCAGCAGATCCTCATGGAGGAATCCCACCTGCCGGACGTTCAGGATACGAATAGTTCTAGTTCTGAAACTTAAATGTCAAATGCTACAAAGTTGTAAATACCGATAATGTTTTAGTTACTTACCACATGCACCATTTTAAAAACACAATTTTAACCTTAAAACCTAACCACAAATTTGAATGTTTGTGGTGGTATGTAATTTAATACTTTATTTCACTCTTAGCACACGAATAAAGAGATTTGTAGACAATGTAAGGCAACTAGTGGCAATTTTTGATTCAATCTACGACGAGCACTATCTTAATGTATGAAACTGTATAAAACTTTGAAAATCAAGTGTTTATTTATGTTCCATGTTATTTTTTGTGATATATATTGTATAAGCATAAATAAAGTAACAATTTCTTATAAAATTACAAGTTTTTTAGTAGAAATAAAAAATAATTCAATTTTTTACTATTTCCACGGTTTTGAGTGGCACTTTAAGCACGGGGGGCCAAAACCGTGACTAAAGGCCGTGACTAAAGTACTAAATTAATATTTTACCAAATTCTAAAAATAGAACTGTCAAAAACCTTTAATTATTGATAAATTTCAAGAAATTGCAAAACAAATTTTTGTCTGACAAAATTTTCTACCCGATATTCTGCACTTGCAGTCACCCAAATTAATTCCGTTGATGATTCCAAATATTTTCCTTTTTTCCTGTTTTTGGATTGATTTAACGATTGAAAATTGAGCAATCGACAGTGCGGTTGATGATTGACTAAAATTGCACTCAATTGCATAAAGAAATTTATTGATTCCCATCCAACGCAGACAGATAAATCACCATTAGCAACACTAATATTTGCATTTGTATTTCAATTAAACCGCGCGCGGTTTTGCGCCGAAATGCAAAACGCAAAATGCTAATTACATTGCAATCAAATTAAAGTTGCAAATGAGGTTGTTTGCGTGATTCATTAAACGGCGATTCCATTTGAAGCGTGATTATTTCGGGTGCTAGTTTTAGCCCGGGGCCAAAATTCAATTAAACCGAATCATAATGTTAGATTAGTCTCATTATTTCAAATTAATATTACTTATATTTATGAAATAAAACAAAATTTTACCCTAAATATTAAAATTTTATGCTTTTAATTAAATTTATCTGTTTATTTTGTAAATAATGGACAATTGACCTATGTTTACAATAATCATAGTGAACTTTTGTGACTAATTATGCGTGTCGGTGTCCGCCGTCCTGCAAGGGCGCCATTTCAATTCAACGCACAATATTATCACAAGTGGATCAGTTTCGGTGCTTGACTCGCTAGCAAATCCACCGTCACGGTATCTATGCACATTAGACACTATTCATATTCATCCCTTATACCTTGAACATATATACAGGGTGTTGTATATATTTTTTCAACATTTAATTAATTTAAATCTATTACTTTCTTTGGTGAATACGTAATCCATGTTATTTTTTATAAATATAAAAATATTTATTGATTAAAATTACAACGTGATTATGAACTGTTTATGAAGATGCCCTCTGGGCGAAACATGTTAAACTCAACAAAAAAACCTGTAAATCCAAAAATCACGTTGTAATTTTAATCAATAAATATTTTTATATTTATAAAAATAATTTAAAACTTAATTTTTGATTTTTTTCAAATTTTTTCATAGAAAATTAATTTTATTTTGCTAAATTATTGTGTAATGTTGTTAATTTGTAAACACACGGTATAAATGTGACAAAATGATATTAACATAGTCAAACATGTCACGCATGGTTAGGGGAAGCGACTTCGGGGTGGTCGGGATGGTTGGTGAATCTCGGTATTGTGCTACCCTTGTGTCACTCATCGAGATAGACATGTACACCATTCATTATACACGTGTACATTTTCCATAGGGTGTAATTATAAGTAAAACCCTCTTTAAAATAAAAATTTGTCATAAAAACCATGAAAATCCCTTCTTTTAAATTGTTTCACCTGATTATTTTAACCTTAAATTTGGTTTAAAAATGTATGCAACCCTTTGTACATTATGCATCCTACAGCTTTTCATATACATGTTGATATATGACAGTTTATATCGAGAAAAGCGCGAAGGTTTTGCGTTTCGCAAGCATTGGCAACAGCAACAGAGGCGGTTGGTGGGTAATGCGACCCCGGTCATAGGGATGCGTGGCGGTGGTGGTGGTGGTGGTAGCGTTGTGTGTGCACAAGCTTGCGTTGTTATGAAAACAATATGAATTCCGACCGCATTTTTCCGCAATCCGTTTGATGTGTAATTACTTTTTTAAGCGTTACGAGTCGGGGCGTGTAGCTCTCTGCTTTTATTTGATTCTGGTATTTATTTATTGCTTCTCGGAATACATACGTTGCACGCAAAATGAGCGAAAACGCTTTCGTATGATACACGCATACAGTATCATCCAAAAATCACCCTCAAAAGTCTCAAACAAACAAAACTTAAACTTGACTAACTAAACTTTAAAAATATAACCTAGAAATCAATTCTAACAATTGTCATAATAATTATACGTTATTATTAGACGTAAAATAAGGTTATGTTGATTTAAGAATAAGATTGAAATAGTTTCTGTGCGTTTGGTATAAAGACAATGATAACAAAGTTTGTGTGTGGAGATTTTTTGTGATATACGTTTCGTGCGCTTCATATTTTCCGCATTCGAAACACCGAAATCGTAAAAACGATCCACTCGTCCAGTTTTCAAGTGCATGCACGAGAGATGGTTTTATTTTATCTGCGCAAATGGCCGATGAAAATTGCTGGGTCTTTGTTACGGAACACTAGACAACTAGCATAACGCGATTACATTTTTTTTCAGAGGGCGCGTTGAAATTGAAACGAAAATATACAAACAAAATACAAAACGAAACACAAACGTTGCAAATGCAATCAAAATTCTATTACGTATAGTACTACATACGTAATATTTTATTATTTTATATGACAATATTCAGGAATTTATTAAAAAATGAATAAAAACCAACTGCACTTGATTCATTTTGTTTCGATTGGAATTTAAACAAAATTTTCTAGGTTTTTGTATTTAAACCTTTGTATTTTAAATCTTCGAAATTTGCGCAGGCGCAAGCTCCACCCCGTGACTAAAACCCGTGACTAAAGTACTTTAGTGATAGTATTGGCCATCCGTGTATAAAATACCACTATTTGTATCTCAAAACCGTGGAAAAACTAAATATTTTAAGGCAAAAGTAGAAAAATAGAATTTTGTATTAAAAACAAGATGGCAACCTTAAAACCATTTAATTTGACATTAGTCTTGATTTAATTCACCGAAAATGAAACATGTAATTGTGCCAAACATCAATCGTTTTACTGTGTCCTTGAGTGTCGCACGGCGTCCTGTCACGTGCAGTCGATCCTAATCGCGGATATTAGAATTGAATATCTTCAACACTTCAACGCGCTTGAACGATACAACTCGTTGCACTTCTTCTCACTTCTCCTCTCGTTTTAATAGACTTTTTCTTCACATTTACAGCGCCAAAGACTAATAAGCATGAGCTAGTATGTGTGCAATAACAGGACATGCTGCTTGTTAACTAGGAAGAGGGACAATATGTCACTGCGAATGCGATTAATACAAGTTATACAGAAAGAGAAGGAGGGTGCCACTTGTTATCGTAAAAGATTATTGCCGCGTTACACGTATTAGATCAACAAGAGACAATAAAAACGGTGCAGGGGTTGACAAATAAAATAGTCATTCGCTTCGCTTCTTCGGGCTGCCGGCTGGGGGTTTTTATTAAAAGTCAAGCGTGCGCATATTCCTGGAGTCGCATGCCATCGTTCATGCTCTCCCCCCGCCGCTTGCTGCCGCTGCCGCCTCCGCATTGTCGGCGGACGCCGAATTCCGCAGCTTCGGCTCCGCCCGAGGGACATTCACTCGCCCTCTATGATCCCCCTTAATACCCCGATAACAGCGTCTCTTTATCCACTCTTCTTATTTAAAGCAATTTATGTCTTTTCGTCAGATTTATTGTTATTACGCTAGAGCTACATATGCTCTCCACCACATACAATGAAAAACCTTTGAAATACCAAAACAACCTTTATATCGCATTCATAATATTTATAGTTGCTTCCTGCATAGTAAGCTCTTAAGTTATAAATCAATTTTTGTGCACAAATCAAAATATACATTAATTTTGAGGTTAGAATAGCTCTGAATATATTCTAACCTTAATTTAATTTGTTTTAGGTTTGCGTACATGTGGTTGCCTACGGTTTTATTTCATACACGCAACACACACAACTAAATCTTTGTCTACTTTGAGCTTGAAAGAGCTTTCCGGAAGTTTGTGCCGCAGTGCATAACTGTAAACCAACATTCTTTCCGCTTTCCGGCCGTAATTACCAACAATGAAGATTTAATTAGCAACGTTTTTCTATTTTTCGCAAAGCATCCGCCAGAGAATTAAGTTTAACCAACATGACATGAAAAACGCTGCAATAACGATTAAATTCTGCTCCTAGTTGAGCCGACAATTAATTATGAAAATTTAATTAAGATTTGAGTGCAGTACAAAAAGCGCAAGCGACGGGCGCGCGCTGTTATTATAATCATTTTGTAAACTCCGCTCGCTCCGTCGATCTCGTTGATTCTTTCAAGCATGTTCTTCGTCTCCATTGTTTAAAAACATCTTGCAGCGGCGTGTGCGCTGGCTTGCGATCAATGTTATTAAAGCGGCGAGTAATTAATTTCGTCCCAAAGCCGGGGCTTTAGATTGGTGAAGGCGTCGGGGCGCCGAAGCGCCAGAGATATTATGAGTAAATTACCAATAAACTTGCTACACTGGTACCGATGTGATGATGCTGCCCCAGGGCTAAATTAGCGTGGAGGTCTGCCCCCAAAACACCCCAACGACGATCGATATGCCAAGTGGGGAAGATTTAGTTTTGGGGGGCACGGCTAAATATGATTATGTCGTCGAAAGTTTCGAGCGGATAAAGCCGCCCAGAGTAACCTATTGAAATTCCTGCTCAAGGGTAGCAAGTATTAAGTTTCAAGTTGCAAAATCTGCGCTGGAAGCAAGGTATTCATGGTAATAATGATAAATTAATTGATAGAGGTGAGTTAGGTTATGTTCATATCATAATACGTATTACCTAACCTCAATTTTGGGCTATTTTTGATTTTTTAAATATTTTAGTATGAAAAATGAATAATAAGTTGATTTTTATGTTTTTTTTTATTCGGGAGCTTTGGAATTGTCTGTGTGAGCTCAAATAAGCCGTGCACGGTCTTTATAGATGCCGTGTTCGTGTATATCCATCTTCATTCGATAACCTGCGTTGGAGCGTGCCCTGCGTCTCCCTTTCGAGCGCGCACAACCCTCGCGGCTTGCCCGCCCCAAAAGCGCCCGTGGAATGCGAGGTATTTCAATTAATCCGCGAATCAAAAGAGACGAGCGTCGCTTTATGCCGCCGACCTACCCTCCCCCGCTCAGCCGCCGCCGGTAGATGCGCCATTCTGCCAGCAGCCGGCTAATATCGCAATAGCGCGGGGGCGATTATCCGTGCCGTGCCGTATAGCATTATGCACGCCCGCCGCCGCCGCCGCGACGCTAATTTGCGTGCTTATTAGCCTCGTTCGGCGGCGCACAGCGCTCAGAGGCTATACCTTTGCCGGGGCGCATTTTTCCCGGCTCGCAACGATGCTCAACTTTTAACTTTTCCGCGCCGAGTAACTTCGGGAGCGCTGAGTTTGCGTTTTTATTGCTTTCGCGGCGAGCGCTTTTTTTGCGCATATTAAATTAAGTACCAGACTATTTCTTTATTAAAAAATTACTCGCTTAGATTTAAACGGCGCCAAATTTATTATACCTCACCCTAGGAAATAAAATTATTCAAAAATAAACCAAAATTTCAATTAAAAACATTTTACAGTATTTAAATTTAATAAAATATAATTTTTCTTCATACTGTGTCAAAATTTAAATGAAAAAAAAGTTAAAATTAACAGTTACCAATAAAGTTATGTAAATTAAGTGCATATTTAAAGGTCTAAATTAATTCAAAATTTTATTTGACGCGTTGGATGCATTGAATGCATTTTTATCTGGTCGTGTGCATCGCATTGGATTCAAAAGAAGCGTTGACGTGTGAAATAAGTCACCGCAATTCTTCGAGTGCACTCATATGAATTACAAACGATTGAAATTAAATTTTAATAAATTCATAACTCATATGTTCATTTTATTCCACGATCATAACCCTCGCTAATAAGTACCAGAAAGGGATAATCTACACTTTTAAAGTTTGAGGGGTGCTACAACCCCTTGAATAAAAAATAGGGTGTAATCCGTACTTTAGTGAGATGTTACGTTAACGAATAAGCAAACAAATCATTATCATTGTTAATATTATTATTATTTTAGTGTATGAAATGATGATAGATTTATTAATTTTCACAAATGTAACAATTTATTAGTGCTTTGCGCTACCGACAGGAATGAAAACAAAACGCCATGAATGAGAATGCGATTTGCGAAATTTCATTTAGTAGCAGCAATGAAATGGCGGAGAGCGAAATAATGAGAAAGCAATAAAAGCACCAGCAACCATCATCCAGGCACCAACCGTTAATAATTTAATTAGCCATTTATGTTTTGGTTTAATATGAACAGTACAAATGATTACACGCTGCAAGTGGCGCGACGCGGCGCATTAGAAAACACTCGGGGATAAACGTCCGTGGCCTATATTTCCATTCTTTATTCTTCAACTTATAGATCAAATGATAATCCAACAATTCTTTTTTGTGAAAAATTGTAAATGTTACGCAATATGTAACTATACCCAATCAGTGTTCTGATTAGTTTATTTCAATTTATGTTGTTATTATATTTTAATTAATTAATTCCTTTTTAGGATTTAATAACTGCCAGGTAGTATTATACATAGTAATTATTTGCTTACTATATGTTAATCTATGCAATAATATACTATGTAGTACAAGTGTAAACAATGAAAAAAGTCAAAAACAAATACAAGTTTAAATAACCTTACCAACGATCTTTTGCTCTTGGTGCCCGGATCAAGGATATATGCTGAAGAGCAAAATCCAGCAGCGAACGGATGATGGTTGGTCAAATGTTTTGCACTTCGCGATCATTGTTATCATAATTTACAACCGTGTATTAATACGCGACAAATAACGCTTTGTATTATCATGGCAGCACAGAATCGATCTATTGTAAATTGGACTGTCATTGATTGCAATATCTGTTGCACATGGTAACATTTATCATTTTAATGCAAAAGTGCAGCGCAGTGACATCTATGGATGATTTAGCAAGGCACAAATAGTGGTATCAGTGTGCTGGGTGTTATAGGTAGGGAGCTTACCTAATAATATACCTAATCAATCTTATCTTTAGGAAGCGTTAAGTTTTCATAGCCAAAAACACTATTTCTAAGGCGTACGTTATTGTCAGGCATCAATAATAATATTTTTAATAAGTGCACAGCATTTTCAAATGTAAATCTGAGTTGGTATCCTAGATGTCGCTGTAAATGTAGAAATTATTAAATTTTTAAGTGAATTTCTTGAAACGAAAGTTAATTCGACTATTTTACGATTGTATAGGTAATTTATGCAATTATTCTTTAATTTACTTATAAATTAATTTGATTTACTGCATACTCAGACAGGAAGGACTCGAATTCAAGAAATTCACAATTCACAACTTCAATTAATAATCAATATTTATTAACATTAAATAGAAAACAACCAGCAATTATACCTGATGTTCTTCAAATACCAATATAAACATACCAGCACATACAATTAAAAACCTGGTATTATTTTGCCCTTCTTGGCCGCTTTCTTTAATTTGTTTGTTTTCTTCGTTTTCTTTCTTTTGTCAATATTTTCCTGTCTCTTCTTTTGCCTCTCATCCTTTGCATGTTTAACACCTTCAATCCTCTTGTCCCATTTCTTCTTGCTGGCCTTCTTCATCTGCTCATTTTTCTTTAGAGACTTTTTCAACAGAACTTCATCATCTTTGATTTTCTCACCCTCAGCTTTTGCAATTGCATTTTTCCATGCAGTCTTGTCCTTGATCATCTTTGCCTTTTCCACTTCACCTTCAGCCTCCAACTTCTGAAGTTTCTCTTTTTGTTTATGCAGATTTTCAAGAATTTTCTTAGGGTCCTTCTCTTGTTTTTGTCATTCTTGGTTTTGCCTAGTCCAGAGAAATCAAACTTTGAGAAGACCATCTTACCCTCACTGTTGAAAATAGGTTTTGTAGATGCTTTAACTTCAACATTGTCACTGACTGGTTGTTCCTGCTTTGTTTCTAACAACTTTTGTGCCCTTAACTGTTTTTTCTGTGCATTTCTTTCTTCCCTCTTTGATTTCCTCTTTACTTGATTCTTAAGGTCTTTCTTCTTTAGCTTCTCCTTGAATGTCTGTTTCTTTTTACTCTGAATAGCCTCTAATCTCTGTTGAAGCTCTGAAATTGATGTGGCTCTAGATGTTTTTGTACCCTGTAGATTAGGCTTCTTTCTCGGTACACCATCTTCTTCATCTTCTTCATCTTCAAACTCCTCTTCAGCTAAAATGTTAAAATATTGTAAAGTGTTGCCAATTTCACAAAATGATACATACCACATCTATCCGGAAAAGCAATTATTGAAAATAACTGAGTTATATACTTATTTGCGGCAAGTAAACTAGCTTCAATAGATTTAAATGGTTGCTCTGCAGGTATTTCTTCTTTGCTTAATTGCATTTTATATGTTTTACAAATATCTGATGAAAACAACAGTTGCTTTTAACCTCACACATGCACGTACGCACGTGGAAATGATTCAAGTTGTGTGGGTTGTTATTGGTGAAGCAGCAAAACAGCTGACAAGGATACTTCTAGAAAAGGACGCAAACACTCAAAACACTCAAATGTATTCCTATAATGTATTCCAGTGAACTTTAAACAAGAATATTAAAGTGACTTCCAAATAATTTGATAATTATGGCAACTGCAGCAGCAAATTTTTACCTAACATCTGAAGCTCAACCATCTATATTCGAGATAATCGCCCAGCACAATTTAAATAGCACCTTACAACCTGCATTGGAAAAGCTTGCATTATTCTTATCCAATTGTAACAAGAAATACCTGCACTGGACAGTTCAACATTATGATGAGACATTTCTTGTGGTAAATGGGCTTTTACAGTTGTATTATCTCAGAAAACATGATGCATCATTTGCTGAGCACTTTTATGGCCTAAGAAGACAGCGAGTTGATGGTTATGAAGTATCAACTTTACAGAAACACTTCTCTTGGTTTTATCTTGTGATTGTCCCTTATTTTTACAAGAAGTTTAAAGGAAAAGTTGCAGATTACCAAATTTTAGAAGCTGACCAATTGCTACTTGATGTAAGAATATTATATTGATGATAGTTTACACAATAACTTAACTAAAATTGCAGGATCCATACAGAAACATCAAGAAAGCATTAGTATACTTACACAATGGCATTGAAATTACATGGGGCAGTTGGATTCTAGTGAATTACATTCGCTACATGTCAAATAAGGCAGATTCCCAGTTACCCAGCCTTCAGCTACTCAATTTAAAGCTGATCTATGCAACAAATGAAGATGATCAGCATTTTTGGACATCCTTAGTTAAAGGAGAACTAAGTTTGGGTGATATTGGCGCTGGATTGGTCAAAAATACAGTTCAATCTTTGCTTGAAATATCAGCATTTTTCGTTCAGTTTCTACAGGCATGGAATTCTGAAAGAATGAATTTTAGTATGACATCACTTCCAGTTGTCCGCGCACCACCTGTATGTTATTACATTATTTTATTCTCTTAAGTATTTTATTATATAAATGTTATTAATGTTTTAGGAGGATGTTAAATCAAAGAATTACAAAGGCAAATGTCCGATATGTTTGCTGCGCTGGAAGATGCCAACAGTCGTTCCAATTTCCGGATATGTATTTTGTATGTCATGCATCTACAATCATCTGCGAGAGACGGGCAAATGCCCGGTCACACAGCTACCCTGCAAGCCTCTAGATATTATTAGATTGTATCAGTAGATTCTTTTTGTATGTATTTAATAGATTTTATACTTGTTGAAGTTTGAAATTGAATTTCTCTTAATTCAACTCCTGTTTTCCTCAAAATATGTAATACATTATTAGTAGTATTCAGAGTGAAGAACAAACGTAGGCTGCAAATATCATCAATCAAATCCATCAAAGTTGTAGATAATTCTGCGTCTATTTCCACCATTAATTCGGTGGAATAAAACGAAGAAGCTTCATAATGATAAAAAATATAACAAGTTTTTATTCTCATAAAACTAGAGGTATAAATATACTTGTATTAATAAGACATCTTTTTAAAACATGTCCATAAATCGTTCAGTAAAATATCGTAATTGTACGCCATGTGTAGGGCTCATGTTTTTGTCGCTTCAAAAGGTACGGATCAAAAAATCATCTACGGAAATAAATTAATGCAACCACATAATACTATGAAAATAAAAAATCACTGGGATTAAACCTAAAATTATTATCAATACCTCTCCTATACGCTCTAGATTTCAGATTTCTCCGCTGACACTTTGTATATGGCTTTAAACAACACTATTTTACAAAAACATCATACATGATAACCAACGTATAACTAACAGATCGAAGACGTTTTAACAAGATTTTGATTTACACGCGCTTTCTGAGATAACGTAAGTAAGAAAACTACTATGACTAGTCGTCAAAAAATAAATAATCATGAATTTTTGAAACGAAAAACCGTGTGATGTTAGTAATATGAATATATAAGTCAGATCTTATTTTTTGTCATCGCGATTCTTCCTTCGCCGGCCGCCCTCAAGTAAATAAGTCACATCCAATGGTTGCTTTGTGGGTAATTTGCTCAATAACTTTAGCAGGATCGCATTGACGCGCGCTTTTTATCTGCAGCAGTCTAAAATATAGAAAAGTTAAAAAAAGAAACAATATTATCAATATAACATCATAGTTACCTTAATTATTGGTTCAGCTACGGTTGCAACTTGAGTATCCGCGGGTTTCGCCTCCTCACCGCTATCATGCGGCTTACGCCCGCGTTGTTTTACAAATGCTGGATCCAAATCATGCGGAGTGTATGTCCGCGACACCTTGCGGCGCTCTAGGAACCGCTCAAATGCATAGCTCTTACAACAAATCGGAAACTTGGATTTGGAGACTTTACTGAACAGTCGCGCGTTTTTGTCCACGCGGTACTCGCAGATGTAAATATGCTCTTCGGGAGCGCCAATCGGCCTTCCCTTGCAATAAGTATTCAAATCCATAACCCAACAATGCGAAATTATTAATTCTACTGGCACAGCTTCGTATAGAGGCACTCTCATCACTTCGTTCGAAAAGAACCTGAAAACATTTACAAAATTAAAATATATTTATATAAAACTTAAGTTTCTAAAATCTAACTTTCTAGAAGGTTCGTGGTAGGTCTCATGCGGTCTTAAATAATGATGACCATAGGCAAATCGTTGGCCCGTTTTGGAATCCTTCCACAAACGCTCGATTCGGAAAATATCCAAATCAGTGTATTTAATATCGCCGATCGTATCGTACGTGTGCTTCTTTTCCGTGCCGGGAATGGCAATGTCACGCAGCACGTACACGGTATCACCTTGCCGCAGTTGAAGATCACCGCGCATCAAAGTCATATAATACCTGTAAAAACAACTCATTATTAAGTGAACTAATATAATAATTATAATAAATTACTGATGATTGTGTTCGGTGTACTCATCCAAGGCGATTTCATAATCGACGACTCTTGGCACGCACTGCTCGCAGTGATAACTGGGCGCGTTGTCATCCGCCTTCACGCATTCACAATGCTGCCACACCAAACATCGCTCACATTGTATCATCAAACCCTCATCCCGGTACATCCCGCAAATACATCGTATGATATCTTCTTCTTCATTCTTCTTTTTATTCGACATGAATTTCGTAGGCGGTTTAACACCCAAAACCTTTTCAATATCAGGCATGCTATTCATTTTACAATCATTGTAGACTTTTTTCAGTTTAGTTGAAGCTATGCCAGTATCATCAGACCTTCCGTAAAACTTAGTCGCGTTGTTAAACAACCTATTGATATCATGATCAAAACTCTCAAATGTTTTGTATGTGCCCGACGTTATAGTTTGCTCAATAGTCGTCAAATCAATAGGATCGGTAATCTTCAGATAGTAATCAGGTTGTTTGCGCTTAGGTGGTAGAAGCATGAATGGCGCGCTTAATTTCTCACCAAGTTCATTCTTCGCGTCTACAATCACGTTGTAAATATTCCGGAGTACATTTGCCAGGCGTACTGTTTTCTTCAACTCGGGATCATCTTCTGCCTGTGCTACCCGACGCGTTATCATATTCCTAGGTTGACGAAGTGCGTTCAATTGATTTAAGAACACAGCGCCTTGATTTGTAGGTGTTGAAGTTTGCGCACGTGGTACAGAACTATTACTACCATCAGATCGATCTCGAAGTTTCTTGATTCGTTTCAAATTGCGAAGAAGGAAGCAATGATGTTCTTTGATAAACACTTGTTGCGTTGTACTTATCTTAATGGGTGGCACAATTGTAGTATTCGCTTGTTGTGTAGTTTGATTGGCAAGCTTAACATTACTCGCGGCTTTCTTCGCCAGGGTTTTTCTTGGTCGGCCTACCCTAGCTGACGTTTGGGCATTCTGCATAGCAAGTGCTTGATTTTGTCGCACCCGTTGAGACTTCCCGCCGATAACACCACGACAATCATCACTACCACATTTACATTCCTGACCATCGGCTGGGTTAAACAATGAGAAATTATAATCGTAGGTCAATTCTTCGCCTTCATTTATATCGCGCAATGAAAACAATACCATGCGGAATTGTCCATTCACAGACCACTTTTGAATCTCGCAATTCGGCTCGCAAGAATGATTAACAAACCTACCATCTCCGCCCATTCGGTGGCCATCAATAACAAGCCCACCGTCCAAATGCAGACAATAATGATGAGTGTCATGAACATACCGTGTTGCCATGCGTTCCTTAAACTCTTGGTCAGAGACAACCTCACCGACATACTCCAAAATAAACTCGCCGGATTTAATCGGCTCGTTGGTCCTGATCCCCCAGCCTTTGTGTTCGGTCATAAACTTCTCCAACCCCGGCGCCCATTCATGACGTTGAATTCTTTGGTTATTACATTTGTGTGATGCAGGACATTCAGCAAGGACCAAACGGTTAATACAATCATCGCCACAGTTTGCAGTCGGGGAACAATTGCAAGCCTGCGGTTCGCATGCATTCAAAGTATTCTTAACATTGTACATATTTGAACGAATTTTCCTGTAGTTCCAACTCGGGACAATGTCGCGACCAGGTAGTTGTGAGTGAGTATGTTGCCACCATAAATCATAAGGAAGTTGGAAGGGTATCTTTCGACAACGTAAATATTTACCACAATGATAAGGCGCAGGCAGAAGTCCATAGGGATGTTCTTCAGGAACGTATTGTAATTTTTTCGGCACATCCTGACGCTTTGTTTCATCCTCCTTGTAATAATCAGAGAATAACCCAGCTGGTAAATATTTCTTCCTCCATCGGGGAGGTTTCTTTGTCCGTTTAGCATCATCCCCTGATGCGGAACTCTCCACACTCGCCGGACTAACATCTCGTAAATGCTTCAACTTCCTATCAAACTTCTTCGGCTGTCTTAACTTCGCAAGTCGTTCATGCAAAGATACATCTTCAATACTGCTCGTGGTCATAGGAGATTCATTCCGACTCTTGAGCGAGGTGCGCTCTGCTTTAATATCGAAATCAATTCGATCCTCTTGCGGCAAACTGTCGCACTCACTGATCGCTTCCCATTTCACACCGCTTACTTCATCGTCTTCTTCAATATCATCGGGTTTAGGCATTTCAGTTCGTTCAACGAAAGACGAATACTCTTCGCCTTCCTTAGGCACTCGATCACATACTAGGGTGGTTTGGTTAACAGATGGCACAATTTTCTTCTTCTTTTTCTTCACTGTGGGGAAACCAGTTCGGTTGATGGCTCGCCGTTTGCGTACTTTCCGCTTAACTTCTTTAATATTCGCCGTTTTGACGATAGCAGGTATTGATTCCGGTACAGCACTTACTTCCTGGATGGTAGGTTTGATAGGTTCCAATGGTAGATCAACCGTTGGCAGGAAAATGCCAGTTGGTGTTTCATCTTTCAGATCCTTCTTGCGCTTCGCCTCCTCGGCTTCAACCAACTTCGACGAGAGATTCGAAGTCAACTCGTCTAATTTAGTCTTTTTCTTCAAATTCGCCAGCAGGTCATTGCTCTTCTTCCCGGTTGAATTGAGATTTCTTTTCATTCTGATTTCATTGACCACGGTCTCCAGACTTTCTTTACTCTCCTCCATGCATGATTCCGGACTGAATTGTTCCAGCCTATGACGTTTCTTTGGTGTTGTCATAGGTTTATCTTCCGACGTTTCCAGCTCAATTGACTCAGTTTTATCCTGTTTGATGGGAGTTACCTCTCCGGCATATTTATTGATGCATGCTTCAATTGCTTCATCAATATGTGATGTCTTCAAATCGTAGTCGTTATTATTAAACTTCGCTTCTTCTTTAATTTCACGTGTTTCCTCCATGGGCACATCTTCTTCCTTGCTCTCGCAAACAACACTATTTGTACTAGTCAGGTGATAGTGACGCTTCTTCAATGGCAATCGCTGTTCATTGGGGCTGGTTGTCTCTGTGACCACTTTCTTCTTTTGCGCTCATTGTAGTCGGAAACTTTGCGCTTCTTCGAAACCTTCTTCAGTCCTTTGAGTACTTCGGGTACGTTTTCTTTGGCGGGCTTCACCACAGGAGAGATACAACATAACCTGAAGAACTCCTGCACCATCTTGTCGATCTCCCCAGTCAACTTTGGATCTACCTGTTGGGGAGACGTCAACGGTTTGAGTATTTTAAATTTGCACTTTTTATGTTTCCGGTGCTTGTGTTTACTATGCATCAGTTTCTCGTTCTTTACGGTCAAATACTGATGTTTGCCGTTTTTGGTCGCAAGAACTACTTTCGGTTTGGACACTGATTTAGTTTTGTCCTCCAGTCGTTTGCTGATGCGTTCGCATATCTCATTCAGATGTGTTGTTTTCTCTTTGGATTTTTCTATTGTACCGATTGCGGGTTGATTACTCGTTTGGAGCACCTCTTTCTTTTTATTGGTACCCTTGGGTTTTGTTTCGGTTGCTTTGGGGGACTTGGGTTTGTTTTCACAAGAAGATTTATTTTTTGGCGGCCTGCCAGGACCTTTCTTAACAACAGGCCTTCCTACCTTTCTGCGTGGTGGATACAAAACTCTATCCGAATGTCCGTAGAGTATCCGATCAAAACGATTTGATGTCACCGTCATTTTTGCAAGCGGTTCCTTCTTAGTACCAGACTTTGTTTTTGCTTCAGAATATTTATTCTTCAGCGGAGAAGGACTGCACTCCGGACTACTAACATGATCAGGACTATTTTGAATACCAGAATCTGGAGAAACATTCGGATCTCCACAGTATTCCAGTGGGTTCTCTTTTTCACAACCTTTTGGGCCGTCCACGTTTCTTCTTATCCGGTTCCCCGGCTTTGCGGACTTACCATTATCCTGACCTGAATTGACAATATGAAACTGCTGTATAAGACTATTTGCAAAGAGATTCGTGCTTGGGGGCGGATGTGATTCAGATTCACTGTAACTTTCAGTAGTGCGTTGGATGATTGCATTGACAGCCTGCTGCGGCAACTCAATATCCGAAGCGGATGCATCACCGGCTTGCGGTGAACTCTTTGCGTTCTCTTCGAACGCATCAAACGCATCGCACTCCTGTTGATCTGGTAGGATAGCCGCCAAGTCTTCTTGTCGTATCTCCTGCAAGCTGCACAACATATGTGACGGCAGCATCACACTATCTGCATCAGAGTCTTGGGAATCTGAACTCGATCGGGTTGAGCTTCGGGATGGTGGGAGGGCCGCCATCTAAAACCCATGACACATTCATTTATTAGAAAAATTATGCAGTGAATATTCGCTGAAAACCCGGAAACAAACACATGGGGGAGGTGACTAATGCTTGTAAAAAAAAAAGAGAAATGAACACGCAAGACACTTATAACAAAGGCGCGTTATATGCGTGCATGTTGAAGGGTGACTACAACTAGGGCGGCCAGGTGTGTAGCGGAAAAGAACACAGCAAGGTGTACCAAAATTCGTTAACCGCGCGAGGAAGACGTAATTTAATTAAATTTGTGAATACGAGGACACGTTGAGCAATGTCGCGGTCAGACCACTTATTGGCCTTGTACTGAATGATTATATTCTATAGAGAACTCTATGGAATATTAATTTTATGTGCTAACATGTTAAGTGAATGCGAAAAAAACGTCCTTCTCACCACATAGCCGACATTGACAATGAAATAGAAGGCTGCCGGTGAGTCTAAGGGCTCGAGACACATGGATGGCTGCACAAAAATGCATCGCGGTGCAGCCGAGCAAAGAGTCAAAAATTTAAAAGTACAATTATGAAGTGCAGAAGAAACAAAGGCGCTTCCTTCATTACGTATTCCAACCAACTACCATCATTTCCCATTCCTTAAGTTTATCTCCTCTCGGCCATCAATTTGACCTGAATATGTGCAATGCGCAACATATTCAACTCCCTCGTCATGTGGGAACTAAGTCTCTGCGCAATTAACATCGCAGACCATCTTAAAGTGACACTACTTTAAATCTTCAATAATGGGTACGATGAGTACGTACGTACGGACAGTTCCGCGTTCGTTATTGACCTTTTATTTGTTTCTTCATTTGTCCGAAGCGCGGAATAGCGTCGAGATCGTTTACCCGATCGCGAAATTAAACATACAGTTTGTCCGCCGAATTTCGCGCATCAAAACTACTTCCCATTAGCGATCGATTCGCACATGACACTAACAAGCGATATATACGACAACAAAAAATAAAATTCAGCGCATATAATGTGCGAGAGCGCGAGAAGCACAGCGGCGGTGAAGAGGACAAAAAAAGCGCGCGCGAGAGAACAAGTCAAGGCCAACTTTTTTGCCTACGTACACCGGGCCTCCATACGCGCTCGTTGGGATATTGTTGTATATTTATTAATATAAAATACGCGCGCCGGTTGTACAACTTAATGTTTTTGTTCATTCTCTCGGACGTGTCATTATTCGCAGGTTTTTTGCGCTACCAATAATTCAAGGGCGATTCTCGCCGGGCAACGCCAATTTTATCAAATATCGACATCGAGACGACAATGAATACATTTTTTGCTCAAACACGTTGTTAGATCATTAATTCTCGAAGAGAGTTTATTGCTCTTTGCATCACAAACCGACTGTGTGTGTTTTTGCCAAGAAAGTTAATCATCTAAAACTGGCATTAATTGTTCAGCGTTTACGTAATCACGCACGTCGCGAACTAAAACGCTTTGCGAATAATGCAGATACGATTAGATAGTTACGTGTTATTAATTGGTGTTTCGCGCAAACGGCATGCACTTCGAAAAGAAAAGTGAAAGTGACATGTGCAGCGCGAAACAGAAATGATATTAACAATCGTCAATATCGAGAGGAGAACGAGAATGCCAACCGAATCGAGCTGCATTTGCATATATACGCCGCTGTGCTCGTAACAATTATCGTGTGTGAATTATTAACTAATGATTACATGCACGACACACACACACACGTTCGACATCTAAATATCACTCATTGTTTACGCTATAAAGCTCACGACGTGTTTTCCACGTTAGTATTGCGTCGCTCATGGAGCTGCGTCTTGCAAAACGGACATTTCTATAAATAAACGAATTAAGCGCGCAAACTTTTATACGAAATCAATGAAGGTCACCACTCCGCGCTGGCGAACAGTACATCATCTAGAGCCGCGCGCCAACTAAAAATAATAATGCGAATTTGTGTCAGTACCTGATAACATTCTTGATAATCGTCGCTCGGGCAATAAGCCTTCAGCAGGTGATTTACGTACTCCCAAACGCCCTCGGCGAGCGCACCACTATCCGCGTCGCACTTCTCGCGTTCCACGTGACTGACCATTTTTTAAATTAATTAATTACCACTTAAGAGTACACGTAGAAAGCGATTGTTAACAATGCGCGCGTAATTATTGTACGATTAGCATTGCGAGTTTTGATTCCGCGCGCGCGCGCGAGCGACCGCGATATGTGGCGCGACACCGATCTTGATGAATGAATGAATGAAATTGCGAGTTTGTTGGTTTCTGGACGCACCGGCACCGACGACGGCGTACGCAAAGCGCCCGGCCGGTGTGTATGTGTGTGTATATATCGATGGCGGGGTCAACTTAGCGACCGACACTTTGGAGGCGAATTCAAAACACGCGGCGGGGGCGTATGAAAACTTAATCATAATATACCGCATGTTGCAAATTAAACTTATAAAAAACAATAAATGCAACAAAAGTTACAATATTTACAGAACGAACAAAAACACGGACAACCTAGTTTTGTTTCCTAAAAAACATTTCAATGATTTTTTAGGAAACAAAAAACTTTTAGGCGCAAATAAAAAAATAAGAAAACATTATGTATATGCAAAACACCACGTCACGTCACTAGTCACCCCTCAGATTAAACGTGTGCATGCTTTGCACATAATCTCCCCACAACAATCTTTACCGCAGCTAATAATGCGACTATACACGCGGCATAAACCAAACGCATTAGGCTAATATATTAATTCCTCGTCTGTCTTAAATAAAATATGTGAGTAAATAACAGACGACGATAAAAAACGTGATAATGGTGACATGAATAAGAAAAAAGCTCTTGTCCCAGCATTCTTGTCTGCTCTCCTTGTTAGTTCTTGTGTGACTCACCTTTTTCCGTTTGAGTCTGGCACGTTCCCGAAGAACTCTTGGCGACACATTGTCTTTGGTGTCCTTTCTAACCACTGCCTTCCGGGGTGGCGGAGGCGGGCGACGCACTCGCGTACTCCTCGTCTGTACAGGCGGCGGCGCGACATTTTTGTTGTTATCAACGCTTGAATTAACCGCCGCTGCTGAAACGGGCGCACTTTTGCTGCTCGGTACACTTTTATTATTTGTACTACTAATTTTCGGTTCGGCAGTTAACACGCTCGAATCGGAATCGGAACTATCGCCACTTTCCGAAGCGCTACTGCTGAGACGTTTATCCTTGCTGCATTCACCAGGACTAGGAGCTAATTCTGGGCCTAGTTTGCGCACGTTGGCGATAGTCATGCGAAGACCTAATGACTGCGACGTTACTGAGAACTCTGGTGATGGCGAACGTGAGCGTGATGTAGTTGTACTTGTTGAAGAGCTATCGGAATCAGAACTGTCTGATGCCGAACACGAACCGGAACCAGATCCAGATCCCTAATAACACATAATAAATATATGAATTTTTAATAAAAGGTGTTAGTTACATGTGAGCCCGATTCAGAATCAGAGTCTGAGTCATCTGGTGGTTGGCTTGCAGCATTTGCACTTCCTGCTGGTTCAACATTAAGGCCCCCACTGAATGCAGTGATATCAACAGTGCTTGGCAACTCAGAGGGTTCCGGATCTTCACTGGGTTGATGCACCACGCAGGACCAGCCACTGAGGAGTTCCGTCTGTCCCTCACTACTGGCCATCTTCAGTAGTTCACCTGATAAACAAGTGTAGGTCATGTTATAACATTACCGCCAAATTTAACGGCCGTAGTTAGAGCTATGCATGCAACACGTACCTCCAGTAGTAAAACTCCACCGATGAACATTATAAATGCGCCAGCGGTAATTTTGGCTACATCGATGCGAAGCTCCTAACTTGAAAATGCAGTGCAGCACAAAGTTATCGTAATATTATGTTCGTGTTTACGTTGTGCCTTGGTACATAAACACAACAAGATGGCTCCCATATGACGATGGCCCGAATGTGCATTTTTCCTACATCGACGAAACGCGCACTTTCTGGGCGTTACAGCGCGTTGATACTGAATTGTCCCATTATCAGCCTGGTACTTTACAAAAACGGGTGTTGCTTGTGCTGGATTTTGCTCGAAACGAGGAAATAATTGCGCAACGAAATTCCGTAACGCACACACAACCAACGGCCGCGCTTATAACTGACATTTCAGCGGCGATTTTCGTGCCAGGTGACACTTGTTTTAGTTCAATGTATGGTCGCCAGATGTCGCACCATGTACTAAATTAAGAAAAATATTAGCTGAAAATAATATAATAAAGAATATATATTAAAAATTATTTACAGTATCTTAATTAATTATAAACTAAATAAAATAAATTAATACCATTTTTTGATTATTATAATTCTAATACTTAGAATAAAAAAATAAAAAATATTCCAAATTAGTTCAAAATGCAATTTATGACCGTAAGATGTCGCTACGGTGATCAAAAGCAATTATTTTGTACGTCTTGGATTTTCTTGTTAATAAGTTACTATAGTAACCTGTCTGTTGTGTATTATAACCCAACATTTTTCTACTGCCGCACAGAATTTCTATATTTTATACGTTTTATAATGGTAATTAACTTAATTCTGTCTAAACAATTTAATAAATTATTTTTTCTAGGCGTTATCACCAAAAGGCAAGGAAGCTCTTAGTGAACATCTTGCTCAACAGTCTAAAGATGAAAGTTACACTAAAGACATACAAACTATCAACAAAAAAGCTGAACGTGCGCCCTTTCAAAGACACTGCTATCGCCAACAAATTGAATTGGACACTTTGGAACATGCCAGGTCCAAACAAGCCAATGCTGCGCTCAAAACTGCGCAGTTGCAACAAACCGAGAACTTCGCGTATGAAATGCGCCGATTAAAAGACGAAGAATTTTGCGAGATGAAATTACGCCAACAATTGCGTGAAAATTGTCCAGACCTACGCGATTTGCGCAAGAAATTAAACGCTTGCTACGCGAATAAAATTGTTCATGAGCAAATCAAAGAAAAAGACGCGCGACGTCTCCAAGAACAGATTCTAGAAAGGGAACAGAATGAAATATTAGCAAAAGCTCACGTCACCGAGAAAGAATACTTCAAACAACAAAAAGAACTTGAACTTTTACGTCAAGAGCAATACAAACGCGAGTTACAAGATCAAATGATCTTCCAAGAAAACGCAAAACGTGCGAAATACGAAGAATTCCTAAAGGAAAAGAAACTAATCGACGAGTTAGTCCTCCGCATCCAAGAAGAAGAAGCAAGGGAAATGAAGCAGAAATACTGCGCCATGTTGAAAACCCAGGAAGACATTCGGAACTTCATGGAGAGCCAACAAACTTGGCGAATCAAAGCGCGAGAACGCGTTGAACGCGAAGATTTGGCCATTCAAGAGTTCATCAAGAATAAAATGGAACAAACGAAGAAGTGCGCCGAAGAGAAAGAAGCACGGCAAAGTGCACGTGCGCAAATGTGTGACGAAATGGCCAAGCAGATGTACATCGAAAAGGTAGGATATTTATTTGATTCACATGCGTCCTCTGTCAATGAACACGGTTGTCGCGAATGCGTGGACCGCGGTACGAGATGGCAAACACTGCCCGAAACATTCCAACAACATCGGTTGGTACATCACTGTAGTCTTGTAATCGTTAAAACTGATTTTTCCATCACGATCAATGTCCATTTTCTTCGTGAGAATTTCCACCATATCCTTAGCGGATTCCTCTGCGTCATCATCACTCCCCGAACTGATCAGGGACTTCCTCAGAAGGGTGAATATACTATCACGGCCTAACATACCATCTCCCATTAGGTTGTACACTGCAAAACAGTGGTCTATCTTCTCTTCTAAGGTACCTCTCAAAAAGAGAGACATGGCGGATATCCAGGTTTCCATTGAGATGATGTTTCCATGTGCGGTACCATGAGATTCCAATGCGGTGAAAATGCGGTCGATGAGGGTATCTTCAGTCATGTCGAACCCGTTGTGGAGCACATCCAAGAATTGCACTTTTGTAATGCCCGATTGTTTTATATCGCCATCTTTACGTATTTTATGATAGATTAATATTAGCGATTCGACTTCCACTTGGGTAAAGTGGTACTTCTTAGTTAATTCTCTTATCAACGTGGAGTACTTTTTCTTGATGCGGGTTTCCTCCATGGGGTCCATGGACATGTCCAACATAATTCCGTACGACATGATGAAGAATTTTTGTTTCGTTCAGAGTAAAACACGGAAAAATATTTATGTCATTTGGTTATATGATTTTTTTGTAGGAAAATAAATAAACTCGTAACTATGATGATTTTTCCAGCGAAAACAAACGGAAAAAGACGAGATATTAGCTGAGTTATTAGAAGCTGAAGAACGGGAATCACACGAACGTAAACATCGCGAAAAAGTTGAAAAGGAAATTCGCGCCAGGTTAGATGTCCATCGTGCTTTGAACCTTCAAATGGAGGAACGTTTAGAGAATATGAAGAAAGAAGCTGAACGTGATGCTCGATACAAAGAGGAACTTGTAGCTCAAGCTGCAGAAAATGAAAAACTCGAACAATTTACGAAAGAAAAGCGTAGATTACGTATGATGGAATTACGGCGTGATATTGAAGAAACTATGAAGTCTATGCGACTTAAAAAGGCGATGGAGATGCAACTGATGATGAAAGATCAAGAACTATCGAATGAACAAGCTGAAAAGAGGTATTTATCTAATCTTTTATCTAAATTTATCTAAAATTAAACTTGTTTAACAGGCGTCTATGGATAGAAGAAGAACGCATTCGAATGATTACGGAACATGCTGAAAATTTGATAGGTTTTGTTCCTATTGCTATACTAACTGATTCCGAAAGGAATAAACTGGGAGAAGACTTACGATTGAAGCTTACCTGCCACCACAAACAGTTTTAACACACAAGTGGAAAATGAAGTCTGGTGGGTTGCATATAGTGGCGCTCCGTTTCGAATTTTCTATTTAGTTTGAAAGACGACAGATGTCGCTGTGGGTACCAATTGGGGGTGTTTTACCGTTTTATCCAAAATGGCCACGCGTGATGACAACGGATTTTTGTAAAATTAATAAGGCCAATAAAATTATTTACAAGTAAAGATAATGACTGATATCTTAAAAAAGCCTTAGAATCAGTGTTTGGGAACCAAAAAATACTTGTATTTGCGTGAAAGCTTGATGTCGTACGCCTCTAGTGGTCCATGATGTAAGCATCCAAGCCCCCCTCTCATTCAAACGGATTCCCGCCGGCAAAGCTCATGCTGTTCCCGCATGGGCATCAACAGTACGCTTCACTTTTTACGCCGACCTATCCGCACGTCCCCAAACATTAAAATCAGCTGACGGCGGTTGCGCGGACCTTGAAACTCACCGGTGTCGCGACGTCAACGGCGTCGTCTCTCTTTGTGTACTTAACGAAAACTTGTGCGTTGTGCGAGAGGTGTGAGAGTGTGCGGTGTGCGCGGATAATAATACAACACACGCTCCGTGTGCGGTGTGTGCAGGTAGGAGTAGACCTGGCATAGGTGTGGGACCAATGAGCGGCGAGCCGGACGGCCAATGGCGAACATCCGATGAATGTTTATTGCCGCGGGGCTCAGCCGTCCGCCGCCAGCAGCGTGTCCACGGCCGTCGAGTCTGTCGGTAGCTAAGGGGTGCGTTCGGTGCGCGCGTACTGCACACGCGATACCCAAAACACGTCGTACGAGCTTCCAATTTGCACACCAACCGTATGTGACGCATGCATCCGCGCAGCGCTTTTCATTTGTTTTTCGTCCGTGTCTCGGTTTTCAACGCGGCGCAAAACTTCTGTGCATCACAACTCATTTAAATTGACCTACAACAACATCCCTTGCTTGATGGAAGAGGTGCGATCACAGCCACAACAACAACAACAACATGGGATCAACAGGAGCTGGAGCTGCACGTGGACGTCGAAAACAAGCGAAACCACAACGCAAAGGTACAAATCCAAGCAATTCGGGAATATATTTTTAACTTGCTTGCCTGATATTAAAAAAGTTTGTTTTGTTGCCAACATGTGTTCAAATCGCGTCGCCATGTTGATGTGGCGGGTTGTAAAGTAGGAGGAGTAGGAGTAAGACACAAGGAGTAGGGGTTGTGGGTGTTTTATCATGTCTACCTGAATATTTTCAAACTTTTTCTACGTGTTTTGAATTCTATTGCTTATAATGCCATTAAACTCTATCCACAGACATGTTTCGGTTCTGTTTTCTAGCGTTTTAGCCTTACAGTAATTGATTTTAATTGGTTGGATGCCCGAATTTAATTGAACGCATCGTTGGGGACATTCGGGTAATGGTAAAGTTGGACGCGGCGCGGTGAATTAAAACAAAGTTTCAATTGAATCGTTGGAGAATCTACTACCTGAGGTCCCCATATCCCTACATCCCCAGCATGCGTACATCTGTTGAAACTTATTGGGAATAAGCAAAAGCAAGAATTCGATCTGCATGTGTTAACGCAGTGCACACGCACGTCGAGGGGCTTTTGGTTTGGCTGCGCTCTGCCTGAATTGTGAACAACTATTAATCGGCTGTCCCCAGCTGCACAATAAAAGCCAGCCCAGAGCTTACCGACGACCCCTCGGCACACATTTGCATCTAAAGAGTGTAGTATAGAGGGACAAACTCTCCTCTCCACCCAAAAAAAAATCAACGCCTGCACTATTTTCGGGAAATAATCGACTCAAAATATATATTCATAAATCAAAAACAATGTCAAAGATTGTTCGTTATCGAGTTAGTTTTTCCTCGGCGCATCACCTTCCATAATTCACAGTTTGTAATAAAAAAGCGCGACGCATAATATACATAAGCGATAAACTGGGCATTTTTCGCCCCCAAAACGGCATCGGCTGGTGCGAGAACGCGCCCGTAAACAAGTTATATGGGCAATTAAATGCGAAGGAGACGTCGTGTTGGAAAACGAAAAAAAAAAACACACCGCTTATGCGTGTTATACGCACATATACCCACACACACGCCGAGCAGCGAGAGAATCAAAGCGCGGTGCAAAGAACAACAACCTTCGTCGTTCGCAGCGTGTGTGCTCGCTGCGGCGGTTGGTCGTAGATATGAAAACCTGCCTGCTAGATAAGAAGGTATAGTGGGGTGTGCGTCATGGCGAGCCATGCACACACGCTGTATCGGGAATTTCACGGCATGTCAAGAGAAAAGGTTATCACTAACCGTGGGGCCCCGCGGTACCGTTTCTAGCAGGCACAGCAACGCTATGGTCCATTGAAAAAGACATTGACGTCAAATGCGTGCGACGCATGTTATAAATTATCATAAACATTTTTTTCAGACAACGACGAGGGCCGCATACATATTTCAGTCACTCCCCTATCACCACTTCCTTTAATTTTATTGCATTAATCACCTTTGATAAGTGAAAGTTAAACAATTGGTGTCCCACCGGATGTTGCAATCACCAACCACACAGGCACAAAATTATTAAATGTATTTACGGAATATTTAAAACCATAAATATGAAATATTTCTAAAATTGATATTTTTCAATGGAAATAAGAGCATCATCATTGTTTAGTGTCGGTTCGGACGTTTGGAAGCGTTAGCTCTGGTGTTTTACGCGCGGCGGCGACGTCGTGTCGCGAAAGCGACCTGTTTATAGTCGATTTAATATTACAAAATACACTTTATACGTGCTAACTAGAATTAGTACTTAACGCGCTGTTATTGCTTTTCCACGACAGATTATAATGATCATGATGCGCGTGACGTCACGCGCGTTTATTATATTAATTAATTGCGTATTAATATATGAATCAACGTGGATTTCTGTATCCTGATCTTTTACCAAACCGCTTTCTAATCTGTAACTTGCTCGTGCTCGTTAAAGATCAAAGGTTAGTGTCCTATATAGAATATAAGTGTCTGTAGTACGTGTAATCTGTGCGTTTTCAGGAAGTTGTGACGAAATTTTCGGTATTTTTCAGTCAGTGCCGGCCGCAAAACTAATAAACACACATTTTTGAATGCGGTTTATATACGCGCATACCTGAGATGCACACCTTTCGCTGAAGCATTTATTGCACATTAACAGATATATGGATTTATAAATATGCGCTGCGTGTGCGTGTGCCAAATTGCCTCCGTTAATATGCACTTTATTCATTTGAATCGCAGTGCAGAGGTGTAAAATGTCGGCAAATTGTGCCAGAAATTCATGCGCTACTCGCTTACTATGTTGCCGTATGCTTGTGAATGTAAAATCGGTTGCCTAATTTTAGTCTCGCTAGTCAATATTGACGTGTGCGTTGTTCGTGGAATTGCGGGTGAGAGCGCGCGCGCCTTTGTCTGGCATTTTATTTTAAGCTCGCGATTCCAGGTGTTCTTTGTTGGTTAGACATGGTAGCATGTTAGCAAAGCGAAGTGAAGCAAAGTAAAGCTGTGCAGGCATGTGCAAGACGCATTTTTAACTCGTAATTAATGCTGTAGTTCCTCTCTCAATCATCGTTTTTATTTTTACTCTCCGCGTCGGTGTTGATAAGCCGGAGCGATAAGGGGCTAACACACAACACACGGTTAATTGTAGATAATTTTTGTGCTGCGATGCGGGAAATTAAAATCCAATCGTCTATGAGTAACGCGGTCTATTTTGGCTCAATTTATACCAATCGGTTTACGAAACAACACAATGCGCACTAAGACAATTAATTTCTTCGAACAATCTGTATATAACCATCAATAATAATTGGTCTGATCAGGTTTATCTTCTTTTTTTAATTTTTTTTTTATTTTTATTATTTGTTTTGCGAGCATGAGAGAGAAATGCGTTGCAAAACTTGTCTGATTTATTGTAACGTAGACAATACCTGATTACGGCAATGATTTCAATCTTGTAAGTCTGCAAGCCCGAGATATGAAGTTATTATTTCCAGTTGATATTTCCTAATCAATATCATGGTTTGCCAAGATAGTGCAAGTTGTTAGGCTGCTACATTGTGTGTAAAATATGCAGCGGAAGCGTGGTGGACTGATATAAAGCTCACCTTTCGGAATCACTCAATCGAATGCCCCACACAGGGCTTTCCCTTAACCGCCTGCGAGTCTTTTATAGTGGAATCGGTTCGCATTGCGCGCATAAAGACCTTTCTTTTACAAAATCGGATCACCGCCGCAGCGCGTTTTATGGACTTTATACCTTGGAGCTTTCCGCAGCTTTTTCACCTTTTACGAATTGAGATTTACTGTGGGCCACTGGTATATAATGTAGTATAAGGAGTTTCGGAAGCAATATATTTATCTATCTATAAAACGTTTTTGTTTTTTGCTGCGTTTTTTACTCTAGTAATGCCCAATTTGTAATTTACGACTCGTGTAGGTGTCTGCTTTTTACGTTTTAAATTAGTAATATGTGTGCCACCTGCAATTTGCTATATGGCGTCCAGCAGCCATGATGTTACCGTGCTGCTGCTGGGGGTCGAAAAGCAATTAGCGTTTTTGCGCTGCGCACGTACACACGTTGGCGGCAGTGGTGGCGGCGGCGGCTAGGGGTGTTTAATTACGTGTGCCATGCCATGTCGACTGAGGCGATGCTCTCGCGTCCACTGATTTATACCATCCCTGCTGCCGGTCTAGGTCAGCCGGTGCTGCCCGGCGTGCAACATTTTCGTGCATCGAACAACATACGCGAATAACTGGATTCGACGTTTCGAGTCGGGCGTAAAAAATGGCCCCCCACAACCGCAAAAACGTGCCTCGCCTTCGGCTACAACCTTTCCAATGTGGCGGCGTGGTATAAAGCTCTTCTCTCTTCGCTCACAGGCGGCTATCTATCTATGATTTTAATTGCGCTTTGATTACCTTTCAACTGCGGTGGTGTTAAAAATCAATTGGGGATCTTTTTGCGCCACGTTGGATTTATACCTATTTTGTTTTCAATTTATGATGGCGAATCCATAGCCAGGTGTTTACCCTTTTGGATTTTTGCGTTATTTTTTCCCGTAACTTTTTCTTCGCGCACAAAACGGATGTGTAAGTCAACACACCATCTAATAATAACCTGGAAACGTAGCGCATACACCGTTGACGACGTGAAACGTATGAAACATTTCTCATGGCAGGCACCGTGTGCCCCGTGTGTTTCATTCCGCACTATATATTTCTTTGCATTGCGCATACACCTAGCATCCTGCATGATTGATGCTGCGATTAGCACAAAATATTTACGCATACGTCATTTTCGTGTATAAATTATGGTGCGCGCGAGATGTGCCGAGATTAATCAACATTTTGCTTTAATTTCTTTAATCACGCATCCGTCACACTGCAACGTGTGGCAATTTAATATTATTATAGCGATAAATTATGTTTTATGTTCGCTGGCAGCAAAAGTCCAAGGTAAAACTTTTCTATTAATTGAGCGTTATCATTCAACACTGATGTGTGATGTGAGAGCACAATTGTTCATTCATCTTATGCCATAAAAGCTTACCTTTTGTTTTATGCTGAATCATCAAGGTGCCCGAAGTCGGCGACGTGTGCACTTCAGTAATAAACACCTAACATCTCTACGTGCGAATATGAGACTTGCTCTATCGCGTTATTAAATACCTGTTTTCACATTAACTAAATTTGGTTTTGTTTTAATTCACAACTGCTGATGAGCAAGGAAATTTTGCGACTAACGCAGTGAAGAAACGCGGCACACATTCACTTATTTCAAGGTTATGCGCGCCAATTGTAGGAATCTGCATTACCACTCCGGTAGTACCAACCGTCAATAGGAAGAAATCTGCATTACCATCTCATTCAATGCCAACCGTTTCCTGCTGTTTATAACCTCTTTAAATTGTTTCTAGAATAAGTATTGAATTTCGACATAAAACTATACAAAATACGCGTAGTGGTGAGTAGAATGATCTGAAACGTTGCTACGTTGAAGGTTTTATTTTTATACCTCGTGTTTATAAAC